TAACCATCCACCCACTGAAGGGTGCTTGGGTTGTTTCCAGTTTTTGGTTATTAAAAATGAAGCTGTTATGAACATTCACGTACAGGTTATTGTGCGAACAAAAGTTTTCACTTTTCTGGGATAAATGCCCAACAACGCAACTGCAGGGTCATGTGGTAAGTGCAAGTTTTTTGTTTTTAAGAAACTGAGCGGCTGTGCCATTTTACATTCCCACTAGCAGTTTATGAGGATCCAGTTTCTTCACGTTCTGGCCAACAATTGGTATTATCACTATTTTTTTATTTTAGCTGTTCTAATAGGTGTGTAGTGATAACTTGAGGGGATCTGGCGGCACAGTAGTTAAAGCACTCAGCTGCTACCTTTGCTATCTGAAAGGTCAGTGGTTCGAACCCACCAGTTGCTCCATGGGAGAAAGATGTGGCAGCCTGCTACCATAAAGATTACAGCCTTGGAAATCCTATGGGGCAGTTCTACTCTGTCCTATAGGGTCGATATGAGTCGGAATCGACTCAACAGCAATGGGTTTAGTGATAACTCACTGTTGTTTTAATTTGCATTTATCTAATCGTTAATGAAAGGATCCCTGGTGGCACTGTGGTTAAAGTGCTCAGTTGCTAACTGGAAGGTCGGTGGTTCAAGCCGACCCACCACTTGGAAGGAGAAAGATGTAGCAGTCTACTTCCACGAAGATTACAGCTTTGGAAATCTTACGGGGCAGTTTTACTGTGTCCTATACAGTTGCTATGAGTCAGAATAGACTCAATGGCAACCAGGTTATGGGTAACGTAGACATCTTATTCCACTACATACTATTCATCAAGGTTCACAGAGCATTGATCACACTGCTCAAAGAAGTCTAACAGTAATAATATTAGCTAACATTTACTATGTGCAAGATACTATGTCATGTCCTTTACATGCAATGTTTCATTTAATCCTCATAATAGCCCTTCCAAAAAACCCACTGCCGTTGAGTCAACAGCCCTTAAGTAGATAGTATTATGTTCATTTTATAAAAAGGTACCGAAGGTAAAGTTCCATTCATAACTAACCTCTATCACATCACATTCTAATTTCCAATACAGCACCTAATACATTCTAAATATTGTTTTATTTATTTACTTGCTCACTGTTTCTTCTCACTATAATGTAACAAAGCTCCAGGAGAGCAGGGACCTTGTCTGTCTTATTTTTGGATCCCCAGCACCTACAATATTGTCTGTAACATAGTGAACAATCAAAAACTATTCACTGAATGACTGAATGGATATGTGAATAAATTAAGAAATGAGTAATTCAATAAAAGGTTTAGAAAGGTTAAGTTACTTGGTTAAAGATATGGTAAATCCCAGGATTCAAACTCAAGCAGTCTGGCTCCACAGCCCCTATCAGTCACTTAGCAACTATTAATTCCTGAATGTATTCAAAGACCACCACTGTGCAGGGGATGTGGCACAGAAGGCAAGCTAACTACCAAAGCTTTATATAAAGAGTTGTATCCTATCTTATCCTATAGAGCTGTTGCTAAAGAAAGGCTGCCCAGTTACACACGGCTTTTCCTAGTCCCCTTGAATATAAATAAGTAGGGCCACGTGACTATTTTTGGCAAAGGGACTGTGAGTGGTTATAATCAGTAGTAATTTCCAGGCTGACATAGTTAAGTATCCTGTGTGCCTCCCCTATACTCTCTTCCTATTTCCCAGAGACCATGAGGCTGCATGTTGAAGGTGGCATCACAAGACAGACAGACTTTGTATTCTTTTGTTTTTAATTTTTATTGCGCTTTAGGTGAAAGTTTACAGAGCAAATTAGTCTCCCATTTGATAGTTTATACATAAAGTGTTCCATGACACTGGTTGTATTTCCTCAGCACTCTCCCCATTTCTGCCCTGGGTTCCCCATTTTCTTTCGTCCTGATTTTCTACCCCTTCCTGACTTCTCATCTTTGCTTTTGGGCAAATGTTGCCCTTTTGATCTCATATAATTGATTATTCTAAGGAACATGTTCCTCTCGGGTGTTACTGTTTATTTTATGGGACTGTCTACTGTTTGGCTGAAAGATGGTCTCTGAGAACGGCTTTAGTTCCAGGTCAGAAGGGTATCTTAGGGCCATAGTCTCCAGGGTTTCTCCAGTCTCTGTGAGATCAGTAAGTCTGGTCTTTTTTTGTGAAATTTATTTTTTGTTCTACATTTTTCTCCTGCTCTGTCCAGGATCCTCTATTGTGATCCCAGTGAGAGTGGTCATTGAGGGAATTTTTGACATCATTTTCTAGTTCCCAGGGTTGCTGCTGACAAGTTCAATGCCATTCTGATCCTTGAGCCTGTTCTTCGTAAGTGCAGTACCTTCTCTTAACTCTCCAAGCATATATCTGTGTCATGAATTGAACTGTGTCCCCCAAAAGTATGTGTCAACTTGGCTAGGCCATGATTCCCAGTATTGTGTGGTTGCCCTCCATTTTGTGATCTGATGTATTTGGACTATGTGTTGTAAATCCTAATCTCTGCCTGTGCTTAACAGGCAAGATTAGGTTATGTTAAAGAGTATTAGGGTGGGATACAATACCCTTACTCAGGTCACAGCTCTGACCTAATGGGAGTTTCCCTGGGGTGTGACCTGCATCACCTTTTATCTTAAAAGAGATAAAAGGAGAGAGAATCCAGGAGGTCCCTACCACCAAGAAAGGAGAACCGGGAGCACAGCACATTGTTTCAACCTCAGGTCCCTGCACTAAGAAGCTCCTAAGACCTGGGGAAAATTGATGATAAGGACCTTCCCCCAGAGCTGAGAGCCCTGGAGCTGACGCCCCAAATTTGGACTTCTAGCCTCCTAGACTATGGGAGAATATATTTCTGTTTGTTAAGGACATCCACTTGTGGTATTTTTTTTTTTTTTGCTGTACTTTAGATGAAGGTTTACAGAGCAAACTAGTTTCTCATTAAACAATTAATATACATATTGTTTTGTGACACTGGTTGCCAACCCCATGATGTGTCAACACTCTCCCCTTCTGGAGCTTGGGTTCCCCATTACCAGCTTTCCTGTCCCCTCCTGCCTTCTCATCCTTGCCCCTGGACTGGTGTGCCCATTTAGTTTTGTTTTGTTTTATGAGCCTGTCCAATCTTTGGCTGACGGGTGAACCTCAGGAGTGACTTCAGTATTGAGTTAAAAGGGTGTCCAGGGGCCATATTCTCAGGGTTTCTCTAGTCTCTGACAGCCCAGGAAGTCTGGGTTTTTTGTGTGTGTGTGTGTGTGAGTTAGAAATTTGTTCTAAGACCAGTAAGTCTGTTTTTTGTTTTTGTTTTTTTTTGTGAGTTAGAATTTTGTTCTACATTTTCCTCCAGCTCTGTCTAGGACCCTCTATTGTGATCCTTGTCAGAGCAGTCAGTGGTGGTAGCCGGGCACCATCTAGTTATGCTGGACTCAGTCTGGTGGAGGCTGTGGTAGTTGTGGTCCATTAGTCCTCTAGACTAATCTTTCCCTTGCATGTTTGGTTTTCTTCATTCTCCCATGCTCCAGGTAGGGGGAGACCAGTGGAGTATCTTAGATGGCCTCTCACAAGCTTTTAAGACCCCATATGCTACTCACCAAAGTAGGATACAGAACATTTTCTTCATAAACTATGTTATGCCAATTGAACTAGATGTCCCCCAAGACCATCATGCCTTGTATTCTTGAGTGACAAATTGAAAGAAAGTGAAAAATAAACTATGTCTTAAACCACTGAGATTAGGGGATGATTTGTTATACTAGTTAGCCTACCATGATTAATCCACCTGAGGAAACCTTGAATTACAATAATGGTAAACAAAGCCTAAGATTTTTATCATGGGCTATAGAGAGTAGAAAGAGCACTTGACTTCAAAGTCAAGATAAAGACTAGGGTTTCTAAAAAGGCTTATTCTGAGAATTAAATGAGATAATGTGAAAGTACCTTATAAAATGAAAAATATTACAAAATTTTAAGATATTTGCAATGTTTACAAGGCAAGATGTTACAGTGTAAAGAAAAGCAGCAGAGTCAAAAGACTTAGTTTTATAAAATCTTTCTGTCAATTACATCATGTGTGATCTTAGGTCATCTGTAAAATGTACCTGTTTTGCCATTTTCAAAGAACTTTTTTGAAGATTAATTGTAAACTCTGAGAAAACGTTTTATAAACTACAAAGCACTAAAAACAGTAAACTTATAATAAGCAGCAACACAAACTTAAAAAATGTCACTGAATTTAGGAATTTAGGTATCATGTTGTCTTCCAGTATTTTTTAGAACTCTTAGAGTGAAGAACAGCATCTAAGATTCAGCAGTTTTTAATTTTACTTTAGTTTCATTTTTTTAATGTTCCATTCAAGTAAAATTAAAGTCAATATTTAACTTATGTTTCAAAACTTAAATAGAAATATATTTCATATGTATCAATGTTATGTAATTTTTATAATTTCATTTTTCTTCTAATAAATTCAAATAAAAATAAATATTTTAATTATAAAATGTTCAGTATAATCCATCCTTAAAATAATGCATTTGTTTTCCTAGCCCCTCATCCAGTCTTCTAAATATATGCACAGAAAGTTAACTAGAATAATGTTAGTCAAATATTAACACTGCTTATTTTGAGGAGGTTAGATTTCGAGTAATTTATTGCTTTATTCTTTCTACTTTTCTGTTTTTCTTGAATCTAAAATGAGCATGCATTATATTTATAAACACAATATGGCCATTATTTTTAATTTAAATAAGAAAAACAACTCTTTAACCACTGCAACCTTCTTTCCCCGGAGTTTCCCCGGCTGGAGAGTCAGTCTAGAAAAAATAATATCTTTTAGCCTAGCAGAGAAAGCTCAGTGCAGAAGCCCTGTCATATCAACAAGCACACAATACCTCAACAGAGGCATTCTAGTTTTGAGTTTTTTCTCTTTGGGCTCAGTAGTTCCTACTGAATAGTCTTTTATCATTAACAGGTATATGGTATCTGTAAAACAGGCCCCAAAAGTCTCATACCTTCACAACAGGGTGTCCCCCAGTAGATGCTTTTACTGCCCCTCGGCTCCCTTCGGTTTCATAATGGGCTCGATGATGAGTTTTAGGTTGCACTTCTATTTTCAGTTCACATTGTCCAAAATGAGTTGGTAAAGGCCAGTCTAGTGGAGGCAATGAAGATGTGCTATAAACAAAACACACAAAGATGCATTTCACCATGCTATTATTGTCAAGCAGTGATTCCCTTCTTTGCCAATACCTGGACCAACATTTCTTCCTGTGATCTTTGAAGCAAAGTATAGGGTCGTTATGAGTTGGAATCAACTCAACAGCAATGGGTTTATTCCAAAATAAAACCTCATTTAACTAGTTATAACATTGGATAAGGAGTCCTGGTGGCATTCGGCTGCTAAGCGAAAAGTCAGTGGTTTGAAACCACTAGTCGCTCCATGAGAGAAAAGACCTAACGATCTGCTCCAGTAAAGATTATAGCCTAGGAAACCCTATGGGGCAGTTCTACTCTGTCATATAGGGTCATTATGAGTCAGAATCAACTTGACGGCACACAAACAACAACACTGGATAAAGTGGGTGCTAAAGAAATAATTCTTTAGTCTGAAGAATAAAATTCATTTTATCCATTTTTTTGTTTCTTGTGTTTTTGAGGGATAAATTTTTAACATTTTGTAAAACTGTAACTGCTTCTGAACTATGTGTACATATTTACAAAAATAATCAAAAGAATAATTCAACTTCTTTAAAGCCAAGATGCCTGTCTCTTGTGTATGTATATATCAGTATCTCTCCAAGTATCTGAATCTCTGTCTCAGTGTATGTCTCCCTCTCTGATGTTTATCTGTGAAAGCGAATCTATTGTGCAGTTACTTTCCCCACTTCCTCCCTATTGCTCTTTTCCTCATCTCTCTGAAGTACTGCTTACAGTCCGCAATATACTGCAATTTGAGGTTAAAATTTCAGTACATACATGGCTGAAAAAAATACAAGGCTTATCACTGCCAAACCCACTGAGTCGAGTCGATTCCAACTCCTCGCAACCCTAACAGGACTGAGCAGAACTTCCCCATACGGTTTCCAAGGCTGTAATCTTTATGGAAGCAGACTGTTACATCTTTCTCCCACAGAGCACCCCGGGGGTGCCAACTGCTGACCTTTCAGTTAGCAGCCCAACACTTTCACCACTGCGCCACCAGGGCTCCTTCCTATCACTACAGCTTCTCTAAACGTTAGTTTTTTTAATTTATTTTGATCAATAAGATAATTTAAAGAGCTTAGAGGTCTAAAGATTAATTTACATATATTAACACTGAAAATACAGAACTAGAAGAGAAACAACTGTGTCTACAGATCAAATATTAGTGGGCTCAAGGCTAGAATGATCTGTATTAAAAAGTAACATCTTCTTGGGGATTGGTAAAATGGGACTTTTAAGGTCCCTTCTACCTCTGAAATGCTATCTTTCCTAATGTAAATTTTCTAATTATTTCAATGCTTCCTTTCACGTCCTTGGCCTAGCTTTAACTCTTCTTTCTGTGAAGGTATTAATTTTCATTAATCTGAAACAACAAATAAACTTCATCAACTCTAAGCTAGTTCTGTACTTGTTCTGCAGGTTTAAGCAAACCCCTAGAGAATTTAACATAATTTTCAGAAGCAGAGTTATGGGCTCAAAGGTGTCTTCCATATCACACTTCTACAAACCAGTTTTCTAAGGATCAGGATCCAAAAACAGACATTCATTTCAATGAAAAAGCATAAAAAGCCCATGAACAGACCCAACTCCACATGGGAATTTAATATATGATAAAAGTTGCCTTTTCTACTCAAATTATATAGACTAGCTTGATTCTACAAATGATACTGTGACAACTGATAAGCCATTTGGAAAAACAGCCATATGCTATTCTTCACTCTTTACACCAAAATAAATTTTAGCTGGACCCAAGATACTAAAAAATAAATTTTTTAAAAGCACACGTAAAATTTGATTTTTATTTATTCTTAATTATTTTAGAGTGGGAGAATAAAGCTTTCAAATATAACTCAGAATGCAAGAGCAATAAAGGAAAAGACAAATTTGAATACATAACATTTGAAAATTCCTCTACAACAAAAAAATCAAAAGCTTATAAGATCAAAAGACAAAAAAAAAAAAAACAGAAAAAAACACTTGCCAAAAATATGACAAGGCGAATTTCCTTTGTATACTGAGCTCTTCAAAATGCCTACTCCCAAATTACTTTTATTAGTAATTTAATTGAGTACATAAATTAACCTTTTACAAGCTTTTCTAGATAAGAAAATCCCATCAATGGATTCTTAAAAATGCAATTTGTTATTATCTATAATTCCTTACCTATGTACTTTTAAAATTATAGCTTTAGCTTATCTAAAGACACTTTTCAGATCCAAAGGAAAATAAATATGACAGTTAAACTTGTCTGGAAAAAACTGCCACCAAAAAAAAAGGGGGGTGGTGAGGGAGGAAGACGAGAAGTGGTCAAGCCATTATATATTCTGTATAGATAATGTAGTTACAGGCTACTAATAGTCCATAACCATTAAGTGGTCAAGCCATTATATATAGTTTGTATAATGTAGTTACATGCTACTGATAAGCCATAACCATGAAAAATGACTAGCAGCCAATTCTATTAACTCACCGAAATATAGGGGTGTGGCCAGGCTTAGGTTTACTCCAGGTAAAAGGTGAAGGAACTGAAAGAAATTGGTCACCAGATAAATCTTTCTTTGACGGATACTGAGATCCAAGGCCATCATCTATTGAAGTCTCCCGGGATGGTGATAAATTCCCTTGGTCATCTGAACAGAGCTCTAATTTTCCTGGTAGTATGGCAGCTTGATCTTCAGATGTCTTCCTTGTTTTCAGAGGGATATCAGTCTCTACACAGTACTGAAATGGGAAAAGCGTAGGGCCAAGGCCTGATCCACCTTGGACAGAAGCATTCAGCCAGGTATCTTCTGTTACACTTCCCCTGGGGGAGTGACCAGGAGAAGGAACTGGTGAGTGATGGGGTGAAAGGGAGCCAGCATAACAAACCTCAGCACTGGAGTGCCGTCGTTTCCCACAGGGGGAAGTAGGTCTCGATGAGGGTCCTGAGGCTGGCCTGGGGCTCAGCCAATTCTCATCAGTGATACTAGATCTAGGAGAGTGGCAAGGAGACTGCCTGGGTGACAAGGAGTGTCCAACTCCATACTGTTGATGCCAGGACTCTTCTCCAGGGCAGCCTCCTGGAGAGCCACCAGGAGAAGTCAGAGGGGATCCAAGAGTAAATCGGGCAGCAGCTTCATTCAACTCCGAGTCCACATCATCATAAATGTGTGAAAGAGACTCACAAGAAGACGCATCTGAGAACCAGCTCCTAGAAGAGATGCTGCTGGCAGGACTAGGACTAAGGGAAGACTCCCGGTAAGATGGCTCAAGGGGAAGATAGAGATGATCTCTAGAAGGCCTTTCCAAATATTCTCTTTCTGGGTCATTTATGTGTAGGTCATCTTCATGCGCATCTATTTCTTGATGACAGTTAGGAGAGATGGATGTAATTTGAATACTTGGACACTCAAAGGGCTTAGGACCACCTAATGGGCTGTATTTAGATTCAGGAACTTCACAAGTTCCTTCATAGTTTTTGTGACCTTGGAGCTGAAACGATGGTGACAAAACAGAAGAGTGAGACGGTAATCCATGATGTGGTAAGCAATGTGGCGAGTTTAAAGTAGATGGAGGTGGATCTACATTAAAGATGTAAATGGGTGCACGATCATCTGGCTCAAGATCTATGGGGAGAAAGAAAAAAAAAAAAAAAAAAAAAGAAATCACAAAACTTAGATGTATAAACTACTAGATGAGAAAGCAGTATTATTAAAATAATACCGAGAGAAAAATGTGGCACAAACAAAATGCACATCATGAGCTCTACTAAAGAGCTGGTGTTGTGTTTTTTAAAGTGTAGCTGACTACTTTTGCCAATATACATAATTATTACATATTTGTGTATGTAATTACATACGTATTTTTCTCTTTATTTGTACATTTTCTAAAATATTAATCAGAAAATATTATAATCTGAAAACAAATGTTTTATAAAAGAAATAATCATATCCATAATTCTGAAAATGTTCACAGAATTATCGAATGATATAATCATATGCCAGGAGCACTGGTGGCAGTGGTTAAAACGCTTGGCTGCTAACCGAAAGCTCAGTGGTTCAAACCCAACAGCCGCTCCATGGGAGAAAGAGGTGGCAGTCTGCTTCCATAAAGATTACAGCCTTGGAAACCCTGTGGGGGCAGTTCTACTCTGTCGTATAGGGTTGTATGAGTTAGATTCCACTCAATGGCAATGGGTTTCCATTTATAGTCACTTAAGTTCAGCCTCATCTGGGGGCCTGGCAGGTTAAAGTGAAATAAAGGATAAAACATAGTCTTTAAAAGACTATTTTAGTTATATATACCCACTAAGTTTGTAAATGAAAAGAATTATAGGCTCAAACTTAGGAGACAAAGAATCTAGTCTACCTCTGCCACTAACTGAAATCTTAAACCAGGTCATTTAACCTCCCTAGGCCTCAGTTTTCTTGCAGTAAAATTCAGAACTTCCTTTTTCTTTAAGGGAAATTTTATGATTAACTGTGACAGCTCTTTTCCTCAGTAGTCATACTATCAAGAATTCATATCTTTGATCATAGCAGACCAGGTTACAAAAGCCACATGATCTCACATGACCTTCTTCCTCCACTAGAAACTAACACCATCAGGGATTTTAACTTAACAATTGTTCATTACAATAATCTGTATAAGGAAAGAACTTTTAAAATTCACCCAATGCTGGAGTATTTAACACTAAACAAGCTCTGCGAGATTACCTACTGAGAGTGATTGCAGCAATAAGAGCATTTTGCAACTTCACTTTTAGGAAGGACTGATTACTAACCGTTTTCACAGAGGTAGAAATAAAAAGTACTAAGCCCTAGTGCAAGGTGCTGATGAACACCTTCACATTTTCCAAGGAGATCATCATTGGGAGACCGAAGACAAAACTGTTCATACATACAACAGAGAGAAGCACAAACCCTTAGCCTCTTCTCGGATCACACTGTTTCATTACATTACTACCTCTGAAAAATAATCTACACCTCTTTAGGTTCCTGGTGTTGCTGTTATTAGCCAGAGTCCTTTAATTTAACAGTCTCCTTAAGTCCTAGACTTTGGAACTTTTAAGATGCTCTGTGGTTAGTAAATACATTTACTTCAGCGTTTCCAGGCATTAAAATAACAAAAACAAAACAAAACCCCCTAGAGTTAAACCTTGGCTCTGCCATTCCCTAACTGTGCAAACTTGGACAAATTATTTAACCTGCCTGAACCGCAGTTTTCTGTTCTATAAAAACGGCAGGAGAAGCGTGTATCACCTAACACACAGGACCATTTTAAAACAAGCAACCTAACACAATGACTAATATTTAGCAAGAATACATTTCAATTCCCTTCCCTTTTCCTTTTTAAAAGTTAAGATGGGCATGTTATACTATATTTTATATCTTTTTAACTCTGAAATCCTTCCTAATAAACTGAAACACCTTTTAAAATACATCTCTCTCTCCCTCTTTCTCTCTCACTCCTCCACTTACTGGATCAGGAAAAGTAGGAAGTCAGAGCTCCAAAGAAGAAAATGCATATTAGGCTGGGACAAAAAGTTGGAGGAAAAAGCTATTAAAAACAAACAACAAAAAAGAGGGGGATGGGAGGATGGAAACTGACTGCTAATGGGTACTGGGTTTCTTTTTTGGGTGATGAAAATGTTCTAAAATTTATTGTGGCAATGGTTGCACAATTCTGTGAATATACTAAAAAACACTAAAAATATACTTTAAATGGCTGAACTGCATGGGATCTGAATTATATCTCAATAAAGCTGTTACTAAAAAATAAACAGAGGACATAATGGTAGAGAAAACTCCATTTACAACAGCAACAAGGAAAATTAAGTAAACATAATGAGAAGCATACAAAACCAATGAGGAAAATTTTAAAACACTCCTGAGAGAACAAAAGTAGACTTGAATAAATGGAAAGGTATCTGCTGTTCTTGGACAGGATGACTTAACATCATAAAGTAACAGCTCTCTCTAAACTGATTTATTTAAAAATTCAATGTAATCTCAACAAGCTCATTTATGAAGTTAGACAAATTGACACTAAAGTTCATATAGAAAAACAAACATGCAAGAATAGCCAGAAAATACTGAAAAACTACAAAGAAGAACTAGCCATTACAGATATTAAAATATACAATGAAGCTTCCATAATTAAAACACTGTTATTCACGCACAAATAAACAGACCAGTGGAATAACACAAATTCCAGAAACAGGACTACGTACAAATAGAAATTTCATATATTGATAAAGGCGGCATCTCAAATCACTGGGGTAAAGACGGACTTCTTAATAAATGATGCTGGGACAACGGGGTAGCCATTTGAAAAAAATAAAATTAGATTCCTATCTCACATCATATAGAAGAATGAACTCAAATGGATTAGGGATCTAAAAGTTAAAACAATACAAGTACTAACTGAAAACACAGGTGAATTCCTCTTTAACTATTGCAGAGAGAAAGGCTTTCTATTACTCAAAATCCAGAGGCAAAAAGAAAAAAAAAAAAGATAAATTTGACTACACAAAAATAAAAAAATTGTGTGGCAGAAAACAAACTCACAAGAAAAATGACAAACTAGCAGAAAACATCTGCCACTGTCATGGATTGAACTGTGTCCCCCAAACATGTCTCAACTTGGCTAGGCCATGAGTCCCAGTATTGTGTGGTTGTCCTCCATTTTGCGATCTGATCTGATGTAATTATCTACCATTTTGTGATGTGTTATAAATCCTAACCTCTATATGTTAATGAAAGCAAATGACTGCTAACTGAAAGGTCGGCACAGTTCAAAACCACCAGTGGCTCTGTAGAAGCAAGACGTGGCAATTTGCGTCTGTAGAGATTTACAGCCTCGGAAACCCTATTGGGTCGCTATGAGTCGGAACTGACTTGATGGCAGTGGGTTTTGGGTTTACATGTTAATAAGGAAGGATCAGTGTGGGGTGTATCTTGAGTCATAGCCTTACAAGAGATAATTCTTGTTATCTCGTCAAGAGAGAACCTCACTACCACCAAGAAAGAAGGGCCAGGAGCAAACCGTGTCCTTTGGACTGGGAATTCCTGCACTGAGAACCTCCTAGAACCAAGGGAAGATTGATGTCAAGACACATGGAGATCTCCAAGGAACACTGGACCCACAGATGCTGAAAGGAGACAAGGACCTTCCCCCAGAGCCAACAGAGAGAAAGTTTTCCCCTAGAGCTGGCACCCTGAATTCAAACTTCTAGCCTCCTAAACTGTGAGAGAATAAATTTCTCTTTGTTAAAGACAATCACTTGTGGCAGACAGCCATATATATCCCAGATTAAGGACTAATATCCTTAATATATAAATAACTCTTAAAAATTGAGGGACAAAGGACCAAAAACCTGATAGGAAAATTAAAAAAAAAGACTTGGAAAATTCACACACACACAAAAAGATATAAAAGTGTCTTTCCACCAATATGAAAAATCTGAAAATCACTTATGATTTGAGAAATTCAAATGAACACAATACTGTGATACCATTTATTGCTTATCAGGCTGGCAAAAATGAAAAAGTATGACAACACATTTTGTGGGCATGGTTGTGGGGAAACAGGCATGTTCATACATTATTCGTGGGAATTTAAAATAGGATGGCCACTATGAAAAAGTTTAGCAGTTTCTTATAAAATAAAACAGAAATTTACATATGATCCAGCATCATACACCTGCGTAATTACCCTTGAGAAAACAAAACTCATGT